ATGTGCGTATACTGTTATTGTTTTCGAGTTCCATCCGGTTTGGCCTCAGCTGACTGACAACCAGCGGCCAACGGCTACAAAAACATTCCGCATTCAGCGCCCAGTCAAAGGCGACGATGATGAGGACAAAGTCGGACTGCCGGCTGAGGCCTCGACTTCCTCTCCGCCGCCAAACCACAACAGATCAGCCCTGTCCGTTCATGTTTCCATCCCGATAAGCGTGACATTTTCATATTGGCGGCGATCGAAATCTCAGATCTCAATCGGAATTCCGATTCCCCAGTCAACCCTGCCCCCATTGATTGCAGCCTTGTCATTTCTGAGGCCAATCATGAGGATTAGGAGAAGTGCTGTTTTTTATCTGTGCTAATTGGACCGATCCACTCTTTGTCCTCCTAAGCGGACAGCCATGAAATCAGAGTCCGATCATCCGATGGGCCAGCTCCGATACATGTGTCTCAAGGTCCTTTCTTAGCTGGCTTTCTTTTTCCAAGGGCGTGCAATTGGCGTTAAATTTGAGCTGACATTTAACTTGTGAGCTCGCAAGAAAGGACTTTCTACTTTGATCAGTCTTAAGTATATATAGAAACCGGATACAAATAATGGCTAATTCTGTTTCAAAATCCACAAACTTTTAGTTTTTAAATATCTTTAATACATTACATACAAAATACATTCTCTCTTGATTTTTATTAGTTTAATGATAAATATGTAATTTATAGAGCAAATGGAACCTCCAATCTCATAGGATTCACAGGAAAAGTTACACTTCTGCAGCTGTTAAAGGAGTACGCACACCAGCTCCCATTTCTTTGGAGCACAACAAATTTGTCGACCTGAAAAACTAAGTAAGGACTATCAGAAATTAGGGCATGACTCCATAACTCGCCAGTCGGGAGCCAGGGCAGATGTCAAGCTGCTAAAGATCACACTAAATACAAATATCGCCCAAGGAGCTGAGCTCATTTGAATGAGGGGTCTCCGTTTTCCAGGGAAAGCAAACAAATTCCGATCCTCAAATCCCAAAGGAGCAGACATAAGAAAATCATTTGTGGGGAAGGAGAAGCGAAGGACTCCAAGGGATCAACCCTGAGTCAAATGGCAAAGAGTCCCTTTTGGAAAATCTGAATGTCGCGTGTTGGCGCGTAAGATTTGTGTTTTCCGGGGTCGCCGTCTCGGAAAAATCGGGGTCACACAAGGGGTCGGGGGTCGGGACTCAAGGCATTATAATGGGCTCATTTCCTTGCCTGCTCCTTCGGCTCCTGATTTTCTCAGCGTAATAGCGTAAACATTTAACGGGAGCGTGCGCTGCGCACGCGCAACATTGCCTCACCCTACGACCCGAGTCTTTAGTCCTTAAAATCCTTACCCTTCGACCCTAACCTCACCCGGATCCCAATCTCTGCGCCATTGTTTGATTTCCTTAAGGATTTGCGCGTCTTATGATTGATTCAGTGTTTTGTAGCAATTGTTATTCCCATGATTTCCCCATGTACACGATCACAATCTTGTGGCATTCTCTATGGAGCATGATGAATCTTTGGTGCGTTTTCGTGGGTGTAACGATTGGTTTCTGAGGGTCTGGGTTGGATTACTCTGTTTGACAAATATTCAATTGATCTTTGTTTCTAACGGTCGAATGAATGAAAAGCGTAGAAAAGCTGAAGCAAATGAAAAAGTATAATTTAACAATGCCTAGAAAAAGGCTAAGAATTTTCTGAAAATATTTTATAAATTCACAAGGGTCAAGCAAATAAAAGTTTTTTAACGAACAATTTAAAGACACTTTATAACTTTTGATGGTGAACATTAGGTATTTAGGAGCGGATATAAATAAATTTGCATCTTAGAAAAATATTAATAAATTTTATTGAAAAACAAATAAACCAACAAAGAGAAACCAACTCTTTTAACATGAAATCTTGACAGGGATACCGAGTTTTAAAAAAAACGAGGACGGAAGCTAACTTCGGCAAGCCGAAGTTTTAATACCCTTGCAGACTTTGACGAAATTGCTAAAAGTGAAAAAGTAGCGAAAGGAATAAGGTATACATAAGTAAACTAGATTTGCATCGTTTCAAGTCAATTGCTTTTATACTGCAAAAATGTCATATACAAAAGGGATACTTTCGCAGCCTTTAACAATTTTTCCTATCTCCTTTAAGATATAGACTTCCGAGCGGCAAGCGCTTTTACCCTAATCAAGATATGCGTAAATAAATAAGAATTGGAAAATTTTATGTTAGTAGCTTACACACTGCGCGAAATATTATGATAATCATCAAATTTGGACCGATTTCACCCTATTGTTCCTATGGGAGCTATAGGATATAGACGTCCGATCGGCACGCGCTTTCACCTTGATCAATGTATGCAAAAAAAAATAGGATTTGGAAAGATTCATGTCAATAGCTTGTATACTGCGTGAAATATCCTAAAAATCATTAAATTTTAACCGATTTTACCCTTTTGTTCCTATGGGAGCTATAGGATATAGACGTCCGATCGTCACGCGCTTTTACTCTGATCAAGGTACGCATAAAAAAATAAGATTTGGAAAGATTTATGTCAATAGCTTTTACACTGCGCGAAATATCTTCCATTCTTGCAAGTTATATCCGATTGTTCCTATGGGAGCTATAGGATATAGACATCCGATCGGGGCGGTTTTCAAACTTGATCTGCGTACACTTGTTTTAGGACGACTGTGAAAGTTTCAGATCGCTAGCTTTTAAACTGTGCTCGCAAATGGTATTGAAACAGACGGACAGACGGACAGACGGACGGACGGACAGACGGACAGACGGACAGACGGACAGACGGACATGGCTATATCGACTCCCCTATTGATCCTGATCAAGAATATATATACTTTATAGGGTCGGAAACGTCTCCTTCACTGCGTTACAAACTTCTGACCAAAATTATAATACCCTCTGCAAGGGTATAAAAAGTATATAATTAAATAATAATTCAATAATAATTTAATGGAAAAGGTTAATAATAATAACGTTAGTAACATTAAGCTATCATATTTTAAAGATAAACCGTATACAATTAAAATAATATAATAATATTATCAATATAGCCGCAGCAATTTAATCGACTTATTTTAATAAAATTTTAAATATAAAATATTGCAAAATCTATAAATTACAATGAGCTGCGCAACACAAATCCTTTTTTTCGATTGTTTCTCCCATCAGCAACACATGACACCGCAGCAACGTCGGCAATATAGGCAGCAATACATGATGCATGTGGCACATTTAACACCTCCAATTCATAATGAATGAGTTAAGAGCATCAACAAACGAAGCACGAACATATCGGCGGAAGACTACTGCACATGGGACCCCGATATGGGTTGGGATCTGGGATGCCGTCGGAGGTGCTTGTTCGCCACGCCCGCATCTTCCAGGACATGTGTTAATCAAGCGGCAACCTCAGCAGCGCATAACTCAGTTGCAGATGGACTAATTTTTGTGTAAGTCGGGTAATAAAGGCGGGGAAAACCCTACACACAGCTGCCCAAAGGACTAAAAATAGTCGATGGCAAGGTGCAGGCTGCGTTTACAATTTATGTGACAGAATTCTCATGTTTGCGCTTAATTTTCATTTAATTTTTATGGGCGCCAAAAGATGTCGGACGGCTGCTGCTTGGATACTACGAAAGACCCGGCCAATTTTGGTCATTTATCCCGGCAGTATCCAGCATGGAACAATGATTGCGACAAAGAAGGTAACATGAGTTAAAAAACCAATAGAAGTAACAAAGTGTGACAGGCAATCGGAAGAAGACAAACAAATGAAGAATCCAGAGAAAAGCGCAATTGTTGCAGGATGACAATTGAATGCAATCCGGAAATGTCCTGCGTGGACAAGGATCGATGGCCATCGCCCAAGTGGTTTTTTAAGCAACTCAAAAAGTGAGCAAAAGAGAGATCTACTCAAAGAGAATTTCTCTCTTAAACATAAATCAACCCCTGTAAGAAGACTCAACTCAACAAAGTTTGAGTGAGGATCGGTAGGATATTTGAGCAACCCACTCGGTTCAGATTGAGTGAGTACCGTTCAAAATGAGTTTACTTCCCTTTCTAGACTTCTGGAGTTTTCCGAAAAGAGGGTCAAACTTGACCTCTAAGACGACCTCAAAGATGGGAGATGAGAGATGAGAGAAGCGCGCGCGTTGCTCCTTTTGTGTCCTCAGTTCGCATCCTTCGGGTCACCGTCTGACCTTTTCTTTTGGCACCCGCTTGCCCTTTTGTTTTTCGCCCGGGATCGTTGACAAAAGACCTGGGGCATTGCAATAAATGTGATAAATATTGTTTTTTGTTGTTTGTCTTTCTGTGCAATTGCTTGGACACCGTGCCATAAATTGCCCGTAGACCGGTGAACGCTGATTGCTGACCGTTGATCTTGGATCGTTGATCATCGACTAGGGGTTTGGCTTGCAAGGAAATACCTTGAATGATGCCTTAATTGTGGGACAGGCAGCTGAAACTGTCGGGTTCCATTGAACTGGCCTGCAATTGTGGGTGTTTAACGCGTGTTTTGCTCTGATCAAAGGTTCGCCCCTGATTGTGTGGCGCGCATTAAAGCGCTAGTTTGATACCCTACACATGTAATGCCCTAATTTATTGGTGTTGCGTGTAGAGAAGGCCAAAACCGCAGAAACCGCAAATATTAGTTTAAATGATCTAAAGATTCCAAAATCGTATATATCAGATATAGTTTGACCTAAAATAAATCTTTTCTGAAAAAATATTATACAAAATCAATCCTTTTTAAAAACGATATAAAATTTTGGCTTTTAATATTTGTATTTAATTATTTTGAACACATTGCACTTTTAACTCATTAAATTTCTTATTTAACACCACTGTAATTCGTTAGCAAACGAAAGCAAGGAAAATCCAGCATTTCAAATTGCTCGTGTAATATCTAATTAAACTCTACACACTTTGTTCACTCTGGCAGTAAAGCCAGTTATCGCCAGAACTACAAAAGTACTGGTTGCTCTGATGAAGACTTCCGCACTAACGATTGGAATTATCCTTCTAGCAAGGCTCGTAAAGGTTGGTACGTATGCTTCGACGTTTCTGGCGAGGATTAATAAACAAAAACTTCTATCCGATTTAGATGGAAGAAGGGGGACAACAGAAATATCTGAAACGTTGGAGCTGGTAAGGTTTTGAGTTTAAGTATCTTGTAACCAAATCTTGACAGATTATATTCTACCAAAGTATAAGACCGATGCAAAGTACACAGCCTTACTAAAGGAAATAAATTCGACATACCATGGCAGACCCCATAATACAGCAAACAACTTGGAATTTGAAAAGTACTTCCAAACTGTTTTATCTGGTTTAAACTTAACTGTTTATGACATAGCCGACAAAATTGATATTTACACAGATTTTACAGTTTACAATCAAATACGATTGGAGCTTGAAAGAGAAATTTCCAAAACAATACAAGTCGCGAAAAATCTTCTTAGCCTTAAAAACCTTTTGCCCCACTGTCGTACCTTTTTCATGGATCAACAAGTGCAAATGGCTGCGAGCATCAGTCAATCGAACCTAATGAAAATGGAGATCCTAAATAATCCTAGTCCCGAGTGTGAAAACGTTGAGCTGAACCAGATTACCTTTCTGGAAACGACAACCACCACTACCACTCCTAAGCCCATTAACTACGATTCAATCTTTCGAGATATTTTGCAAAAGTATAGCAAACGGCCATGGGGAAACCTTAAATACTTGGAATTCGATGAACAAATTTGGCAAGTGTTCATGGCCTTGAATACGGACGATAAAATTTATAAAAAGGAGACATTAATTGGGTTCATGGGATATGACAAGGATCGTGAGAAACTGGATAAAGCCTTAGCAGTTCGAATTGGAAAATTTAAAAAAATAATTGCTAACGAAACCGATTCTAATTGCAAAGGAAATCTTTTATACTTAAATAAGCGACTAAGTCTAGCAATGTTCGAAACATTAGAGAAAAAACGCAAGATTTTAGTTATTACCAACTATATACATTCTTGTGTTAAACATGAAGAGCATTTAAAAATAGTGGATAAAATAAATAAGACCTAATTTATTAAATCCACATTTTCCATTCTGAGGAGTATTTTGTAAGAATTCAAAAACACTTTATTTTACTTTCAATAAAAAAATGATTTCTAAATTCAATATTTTAGGCAACGTACTTATATATTTTCACTTTTAAATCTATTTTTTGTCTTCCTTACTGGCTGCTAGTTGCTTTCGAAGGCGGGCTTGTGCCTCCACTGGCCAGTTCTTGAGCTTTTCCTGGCCGCAAGGCATACAAAAAGTGGCCGTGTAGTAAAAGCTGCAACCTGGATCCTTGCACACTGTCTTCGCGCAAATAGAGCACTTGGCCCCCAGAGAGATATAGTATTCCGCTTTCGTATGCCAACGAGGTGGAGGTGGCTGAAACGGATCGCGCATCACATAGTTATCCTCCGGATACTTGATTGCCAGGGAAAAGGGTGGTTTCCTTCCAAAATAGTGAACCATCTCGTGCATTTCGCATCCGGAACAAAGGAAGTCGATGCGTGCTATTCTTTCGTCCTCCTCCTCGGGATCGGTGGGTTTCTTTTCCTCTTGGGGTAGCTTCATACGCTCAATCTCTGCTGCCTCATTGTCCAGGACGAGATTCTCATCGGCCTCCATGTCTAAGATTCACTGCAAGACCAACAGAGAAACAAAGAACTGGGCAAAACATAGACGAAGACTAGTTACGTTTACTATACTAATAACAATATAACTGTTGGTATAACAACAAATAGTGGTTCAAATCAGGTCCTGGGTCATTCAGCAAACGCCAGGCGACGCTTTCCAGGCAGATCCTCTGGCCACCATTCTGGTCGTTCGGCATAACAGCGCTCGCCATCGATCATCAGTTCGGGTCGGCCGTTGAGCACCTTCTCGATTCGCAGCAGGGCCACTCCGTGGTTGTGGGCAGAGCCAAAGACTCGTCCTAGTTTCGCTCCAGCTACGGAGGTTACCTCCTGGCTGGAACCAGCGTCGATGGGAGCCGTCAGGCGGATGGGCATATAGCGCTTGCGGATCACACCCGAGTGATGAACGCGAGCGGTCAATTCCTGGCCCACATAGCATCCCTTTTGGAAGCTCACGCCGTTCAAGTAGTCCGCATTGGCCTCCAGGGGAAAGCATTTGCCCGGAGGCAGTTCCAAGCTGCCCTCACCCACTCCTTGCTTGTAGCGGAGCAGCTGGTAATTGCTGTCAGAGGTGGCGGGTGTGGCGGTACCAAAGTCGGCGAAACTCTTGGTCAGTTTTGCCCAGTCCATGTTGGTTGGGGCCAGAACGCGAGTGCCCAATGCGGAAAGTCTCGGATCGGGGGATACAAACAGATCTGGATGCGGATTGCCCACGGTCTCCGAGCCGTCCTTAAAGTTAAACATCACCCAAGAGGTGTACTCGTCGTCCACACTGTCGACTTCAATGCGCCTGCGAACCCGGTAGGTGCGCAGGTGGCGTCTGAAATCCGAGGAAGCCTCGCGATCGCACTCCACGAGGATGGTGTCCGGATTGTTGGTGCGGTACATGATGGTGTCGTACAGCACACGACCAGATTTGTTGAGGAAGTGGGCGTACATGGAGGCAGGACCTCCGGACGACTGAATCCGGGCCACATCGTTGGTCGCCAGACCCTGCAGAAAGGGCACCACCTCGGCCCCGTGGATGCGGATGAGTTCCCGGTTGGCCAGCGGCTCCAGGGTGAAATTGCGCTGACTTATGCCCATCGGACGGGCGTACGGAATCCGCAGCTCGTGGAGATTACGTATTTGCAGCCGCACCGCGCGGATGAACCACGGATTTGAACATCTATTCATGCTGCAAAATGGAGGCATCGGTTGCCTGCAATATGTATTCGAAATGGTAAAGCACTCTTACCTTGTTTGGGAAATTTGACTTAATTTATTTGATCTATCTAGCTGCAGAAACTTAAATTTGGTACACAAAACAAAGTCAGGCAAGGAACTAAATTTTTGGCACCCGGTTCATAACATTGAAACTTGACAGTTCGTTAGAGATGGGCGCTTGCTGTGGTTTTTTCACGTATCGTGATAAATTAAATTTTTAAAATAAAAATATAGCATATTCAAATCGTATGCACCAAGAAATTATAATAATTTGAATAATAGTTTTTTTGATGTTTTAACTTATAATGTTGTTTAAAGTTTTTCGTGCTTAGATAGAGCCGATGTGGTAATTTTCGTGCCATTTCTCAAGACTTATTCACAGTCCCATCTCTAATCAGCTGTTTCTATCATGAGACCACATCATCTTGTTTTCCCTGGTTTATTTTAGCACATTCTACAAGAAAAATCGGTATTTCGTGGCGCTGTGGGCGCAGCCACTTTACTAGAAACATAAAAAATTTGTTTTAAACAAAACAAAATGAGTCAATATAGCCACGTTAAGTATACGCAATCGCCGACGCCGTCAGTGGTTTCAGGCTACTCGAGTGCCTCGCGGCTCCACTCGCCACTCCCGCCGCCCGCCAACCACCGGAGGGACTGCCTCTCGGCGACCACCAAGAGCTACAAATACCTGCGACGTCTGCTCAAGTTTAATCAGATGGACTTCGAGTTTGCTCTGTGGCAGATGGTTTACCTCTTCGTGGCGCCCCAGAAGGTGTACCGGAACTTCAACTACCGGAAACAGACCAAATCCCAGTTCGCACGAGACGATCCGGCGTTCCTTGTGCTCCTGGTGGTCTGCCTATGTGGTGAGTTCACAACGCCCTAAATCATCCACCCATTTTGAAGATGGGTAAGAATCTGCACATCTTATAGTCGATCATCCTTTACCTTGTAAATATAAATGATATCGTATTTGTACCATAGTTTGGAAAAAGTTAATTCAGGGAATCTGTTAGTATAATAATCTACTTTATATCTCATTCCGAGTCATATTGTACTCTATCTTAAGACAAGAAATCTGTAGATCATCTTCCCTGAGCTATAGCCTAATGCACATATAGCCTAATGCACATGAGAAATAAAATCATATCATCAGTGCCCAATAAGAGGGAAGTAAGAAGTTAGTTGTATCAGTACTATTTCTTATCTTATTGTAATTTCATTTTCTTCTTATCAAATTTCAATAGTCACCTCTCTGGGCTTTGCGTATGTGCTAGGACTGTCCTTCTGGCAGAGCATCTCCTTCATCTTCTATGTGGTTTTCGTGGACTGCATTTTCGCGGGCATCATAATTGCCTCGTTCTTTTGGGCGGTGACAAATCGGTATTTGCGCACGAATAGTCTGGAGCCGGATATCGAGTGGGGCTATGCCTTCGATGTGCATCTGAACGCCTTCTTTCCGCCACTGATGTTGCTGCACTTCATCCAGCTTTTCTTCTTCAACTGGCTGATCAGCCAGACGTGGTTTATCTCCCGATTCCTCGGCAACACCTTCTGGCTGCTGGGCATGGGCTACTACGTGTACATCACTTTTCTGGGATATAATTGTGAGTAATTTTGAAAGACATTATAGAACTCTTAAATCAATACTTTATTTTCCCTTTGCAGGCATTCCCCATCTCAAGAACACCCGAATTATACTCATCGCCCTGCCCATCATCTTTCTTCTGTTTCTGGTTGTCACAATTATTGGCTGGAATGCTACGATATCCTTTGTCAACTTCTACAGGTATCGCGTTTATTAATCTTGTAACGTGCGTTGTAAATTATTTTGCGTTTAGTGCTAGGCACTACACTACAATTATGACTAATAAAATAATTAATTTAGCGTTATCCAAATCGAAATTGTACGAACTGCTCTTAAAACTGGGTTTAATCCTTGAACATGATGAGGATCATAATTCTTTTTAACATTGTGAATGAGTATTATTTTATAGTTTTGATATGGAAGCCATCATCTAAACTATAAAAAAAAATGTTTAACCGTTTTTGAATTAGAAATACTAATTGTATCTACATATCTCATGCATACAAAATTAGAAAACTATGATTTTGTAAAATCGATTAGGCTCGTGACTTTAAAGATTATTTAATCTGAACCTAGGTTTCTTAATAACCTAAAGCTATATCTTCAGAAACCAACATTTCCTTAAGTTTTTTCAACATTTTTCCGAGTTTATTAATCTACAAATGAACAATAAATGCAATTACGCCAGCTGCTTGGGCTTCACGAAGGTGCGCTTCCGCTTGTTGCGTTTGCGTTGCAACTCCAGGGTGTGCAAGTCCGTGTGCACCTCGGCGAAGATCTCCGTCTGCTCCTCCTCGGGAATCGAGCTGCGGTAGTCCTTCATCATGTCGTACTTTTCCCAGGGCTTTTGCACCTTGGCCGCCGACAAACGATGCTTGTCCTTCAAATACTCATCGATGTTGGCCACGCCACGCAGATTTTGGCGCTCCCAGCGCTCCAGCCAGGGACGCGGTCGAAGTACCACCTTGATGTCGTTCACTGGCACAGAAGCACCCTCCTCCAGCGGTTCCGCCTCCATGTTCTCATCAAAAGTACTGTACTCCGGCAGAGCGTCGCGCAGATAAAACAAGCTATCATCAAGTCGTTTCTCCAGCCGCAGAACCTCCACCTTCTGGATGGTGGGATCATACAGCTCGTAGACCACCTCCATGCCCTGGTGATCGATGACGTTGCGCAGGACGAAACGGGCACGCAGTCCACAACGATCCCTATTGATGCAGATGCCCACGAATCGACTGGTCTTGCCGGCGGCATGGGGATCGGAACTGGTCACCGCCAACACGGATCCTACATAAAACTCGGGCAGATCGATCTGTTTCCGCCGCTCCAGCATGTCCAGGCGCTCCAGTTTCTCACGGATGGGGTTTCTCCACTCCACCTTCGGATCGGGCAGGAATTCCGGGTAAACGAACCGATAATTCGCCGGGATAATGGGCTTGCGGGTCACAGGCGCTGGTGAACTGGGCGTGGGCGCAGGAGCCACTCCTTTCTTCGATTCCTCCTGATTTTCAACAGCATGTTCCGCCGTCTTCGTGGAGAATGTGACTAAAAAATAAGTTTCCTGAATGCGTGCCACTAAGAAAAGTGTTGGTCCTTACCAATCCGCTTGTAGGCGCACTGCGGCGCCAATCTATTAAGCATTACCCTAGTGCTTAGGTTCATTTTTTATTAATTTACTGAGTAACTGAAACAAATAAATGTTTAGATAATCATGCCGCACGATAATCAGCTGCTACCAGAGATGGTGATAACAGAGCTATCGATACTTTTCTTGATTGTAATAGAGCTGCCAACTCGGCTGACTTTATTTAAAAAAAAAAAATTTAACTGACTTTTAAATACTTTTTAACTGTTTCCATCTATTTTTTTTACATTTGGATTGCGAAGAAAAAAAGGTTTTATTTACATTATATACAATTTTTTTGTTACATTTTTCATTAGGATTATTGATGATTAAAATTTTAGGATTACATTTACCATTTGATGGTCATTTTATATATTTCTATATACAGAAGAATCCGGTTATAACGACTCCGCTTATAGTGTCCGTCCGGTTATTGCGACGAAAACTCGATGGCTTGGTTGGTCCCCATACATCATACAACCTACATTGCTCCTTTTGGTTAGTGCATCTTCCGGGTATAACGACGTAAAATCGTCAGTCCCTTGAAAGTCGCTATAACCGGATTCTTCTGTATATATATATCCTATAAAAATCAATCTTCGATGCCGTTTAATTTATTGAGGTTAGCCCAAGCCTATTCTCGCCGGAAGTGAATGACACATACTAGCCAAATAACATCCCATCCGGCGTCAAGTGCTCAATGCAGAAAACTAATTCTACATCAACAATATAAAAATGTGTTTTTTTTTCAAATACTTTTATCAAAAAGAATTTATTTTCCTGTTACAGTTTAAATTTATAGTAAATCGACCATCTTAGAGGGGAATGATAAAGGGTCAGAGAAAGTAGGGGAATTCCTGCAGGCGGTAAATGAATTTAGCCAGATGATGACTATGAGTCAGCCGTACGGCTAGCTGCTTAATCCTTGAGGATTTCATTAACAGCGTTGACGACGTGGCGGGCAGAGATGCCGAACATGTCGATGAGGACGGAGGGAGGACCCGAACGTGGCACGGTGGGCACGAACAAGTGCTTGACCACAAAGTTGCGCTCGCCGGCCAGGGCACTCAGCACAGCCTCACCAAGACCTCCCTGCCTGTAAGGGATAAAGAACAAACACAGTTAGCAAAAAAGTATTTCAAAAGAATTGCGGTAAGAACTCACTGGTAGTGATCCTCCACGACGACCACACGTCCTCCGCACTGCTTTCCGTGCTCAATAATCAGCTCGGCATCCAAAGGCTTCACGGTGAAGGGATCAATCACACGGACGGTGATGCAGTTCTTCTCCAGCTGATCGGCGGCTTCCAAGCACTCGTACAAAGTGATACCTGCTCCGATCAGGAGCACCTCGTCGGAGCTCTTCTGGCGCACCACCTTGCCGCGTCCAATGGTGAAAGGTTCCTCATTGTCGTAGATTACGCAGGTGTTGGGACGGGATGTGCGGATAAAGCATACACCCTTGGTATTCGCCGCCAGCTCCACGGCACGCTCCGTGCTCACCGCATCCGAGGGATAGAAGATGGTGCTGCCCGGGATTGTACGGAACATGGCAACATCCTCCAGTCCCATCTGCGAGGGACCATCCTCACCGATGCTGCAGCCGCAGTGGGAGCCCACAAAGTTCACATTCGTCTGCGAGATGGCGCCCATACGGATCTGGTCGAAGGCTCGGGTGAAGAAGGTGGCAAAGGTGGATACAAAGGCCACAGTGCGGCGACGGCAGGCAGCACCAACGGCCACTCCCACCAGATTCTGCTCAGCAATGAAGCACTCGATGTAGCGTTCAGGGTCGAGAGCCTTAAGCTTGTCCGAGAACGTGGAGTTCTTGGTGTCGCCGTCCAGGGCAATCACACGCTGGTTGTTCTTGCCGATCTTGGCCAGAGCTGTTCCATAGGCCAAACGGGTGGCAATGGAATCACCCAACTTGTATG